TTCTGCTCAGTTGGTTAACCTACATTTATGCTATATTTAGCTCCAAACAGATGACTTTTATCTATTTCTAGGATAAATACTTTGCGCAACTGAGATTCTTCAAAAGAATGAACTCTGTAAAGAAATTCCAAAAGTTATTTTCAAGCATGTTGTATGCAATGGACATATTGCAAGCTGTGTACAGCGATACAATGTGATGACATTTAAAGGACAAAATTCATTTGGATCTGTGCATTTGATTTTATTAAAAAACAACTTCATTTGAGGTGTACCAGGACCCAGAGTTGTATTTTCCATTTTTCCCTAACGTCAGATCTGGTATAACACAGGTAATGCCTGCATATTCACCAGGAGCCAGGCACCAGGACAAGCATTTTCCATCACTTGCACTGGATCCTCAGGTGAGCTTGTGGCCCATTTCTTAACTATGTATTTTGCAGATGAGGAAACTGAAGTTGGTGAAGAAGTCGTTGTCTAAGGCAGCGTTTCTCAACCTGCTTTTCACTGGCCGCTCCTCTAAGGTGGCCCTTTGAGACCTTTTCCCCCTAACTGCCCAGTGCCAATTTCAGTACCACGAACGCACAGTGCTATGTAGGCATAGGTATATCTGTGCTTTATATACAAAATAAGGTTATAAAAATCTCCCCAAAACAAATTCACATCTTGAGAGATGATGGCACTGCTGGTGGGAAGCATGTCCCACAGCTGCACAGATAGACAGTGTGCTGCACCGTGGCTCCAAATCCAAGCTGTGTGACTCTAGGCCCACGTTACAGTCTCTGGACACAGTAGTGTTTCTTTTGGATCTTGCCCTCCTGCAGTTTGGCTCATTCAATGCCTTTCCACCATCCTCAGGGTAAGGCACGTGTCCCTTCGGTGAGGTCCTCATGATCTGCTCCAACACCACCGAGCCACATGTATTTGCTTGCAGTAGGCCAGGCTTTTCCGCCACAGCCTCATTCTTCCACACCCTCTTCATCTGGCTTACAGCTGCTGGGCTTCAAGGCCCAGCTTGGACATTGGGTCCTCCAGGGAGCTTTCCCTGACTCCCAACCCCCATTCCAGGCTGGGCCGAAGCCCTTCCTATGTGCTGTGATAACAAGTTGGATTTACATTTCTCCAAATACTCCCCATACTCTTATTATATTTACTCGTCTGCCTCTTCCAATGGACTGTGAGGGCCACGGGACCTTGTCTCTAAATCTCTAGGCCCACCAGGATGCATGGCAGGAACTCTGTAAAAATCATATGATAGGAAGCTGAAAATGGCTCCAGTGCACATGCAACAGAAAGAGCTTCATGAATGAACTTCCTACTCAATTGTTTAGGTCTCGATGGTCCTTTGGGAAATCACCCCTTGCTTGGATTCAGTCCAAGGTTCTGATGACAACGGCACCGATCCTCCTTCTGGGCTCCAGAGTTAAATAAAAGACCTAGGCCTGACAAGACTGTTCTATTCTTTTGGCCACTGGATGACTCCAGGGATGGACAAATGACATAAGTCAGTAATAAGAGATACCATGGTGAGACTTCAGTGGAACTATTAGAGGAGAAAGATTCCCTTTCCACTGGGCTGGAGGCATATAAGTCTAACATGGCCAGAGGCTGCTCTGTGGAAAGAGGCAGAGGGCCTGCCTGAGCAAGACGACCACACGGAGAGCAGATCCCAGGGACCGAGGGCAAGAGAAACACAGACAGACCAAGCCAGCCAAGTCCTGATGCTCCAGCCTCCAACTCCAGTGAAGCCCAGTGCTTCTGACCTTCGCAATTCCATGAATCAAACTTTTTTTTCCCCCTAAGCTTAAGGCATTTTGAAATGGATTTTTGTCAACGAAAATCCATTTTTGACCACAAAAATTTTTGTGACAGAAAAGGCTTCTGACCAACACAGTGGGCGATGATATTGCCAGATCTCTGGCCCACGGCAGGCATTCAACAAATCTGAGTTCTCTTTCTCTTCCTTGGTCAAAGAATATGGGTCAAAAAGAAAGGACAGTGATAGCACCTACCATACAAATCTGTTGTGTGAGATGGTGCCACCCAAGGGTTTACCACAGTGCCTGGCACTCAAAAAGGACTCAATGAACATTAGCACTAACACCACTGTACAGCAGGAGACTTGGAAGAGACAGAATTCTGAGACCTTGAGTTTAGTTTTCCACTCTGTCATGAACCTATTAAATTGTAGTTACCAACAACCCAGAGTGAACACTCTCAAATATCAGAACAATAACCACAAAGGGCCAGTTCTTGGTTGTGGTAGAAAATGCTGCCACCGTGAGCAGGTGTGAACCTCCCGGTGCCAGGCCTGCCGCCTGAGGAAATGATCCAGAAGGCTGTGATCTGCCTGAATGCTCTACTTATGTCAAGTCCGTTTGCCAATCCGTCCAGTCTTACTGAGCCTCAAAAGGCAGAAGAGATGTGCTATTGCTCCAGCTAAGTAACTGCATTGCCAAAGGGGAACACACGGCTCCTCTGTATTTACCAGTTTTCTATGTCAGCTCCCCAATGCTTCCTTCTTTCACATTAATAATAATTTTTTAAAAGTTGGACTGCGAAAAGTTCCTTGTCCCCACTAGGCTGTATGCTTAGCCAACTCATTCATCTTACCATAATTTAATTTTACTTTCCTCACTCTATAAGAATTTTCTTCACATTCATTTTTTTGTGCTACTGGGATTAGGAATTTGGTAGAAACTCAAGTCCAGCCTCTGTTGGATGAAGTTTAAAGCTCTGGTTACTTTAAACCAAGCTTTTGAAGAAATACACATATATAATAAACATCGTAAAAAATATTTCAGACAGGAAATATTAAGCTATTGTTCAATTCCTATTTTCCATTTGGACTGAGTTTTTCAGAAGTATAAACACTTGTCATTTTCTAAAGGGAAAATACACTGGAATGGAAGGATTTTAAAGCTGTTTGCTATGTGACGTAGCCCTTCCCCATAAGAAACTTACAGTCAATATTCATGTTTTGGCCGGCCTGGTATTGATGCTTGTTTAGCCCCATGGTCTTTCTTGGCCACGGCGATCCAGTTAGGGGCGGGGAGAGGATCCAAGTGGGCCAGTCAGAAACAGTTGGGAGGGTTTTGCTAGAATTGCTGGGTACAAGGTGTTTCTTTACTGCTGTGGCAGCTTCTCTGCTCCCCTGTGGTGACGGTCTGAGACTAAAACCCCACAGTGCTGAGCAGAGCCAAGAGATAGGCGTACTGACCTTTGTTAACCTCAGCTGATTAGTTAAACTCACACTAGATGGCCTCCAATTTACCCATAGGCTTCAAACCTATTTGCAAAACACTTTTTCCTGAAGAAAGGAAGACATGGAGGTGAGTCTAGCATTCCTATGCTCACCCCGAAATACAACACACTTCATAATCTGGCTGGCCTGCAGCACTGAAGTACTTATGGGTACCTTAAGATGTCTGGGGAAACCTGAGATGACTTCCTTCCTTATTCTCCTGTTCCAGCCAATTAGGAACAGACCCGAGGACACACAGCCAAGCTGCCAGCAGGTTCTATTGCTCCCACCTTCAGAATTGATCTATAAGCAATGAATGATCACCACCTGCACTGCTACCTGCATCTGAGCCACAATCATGTCCTCCTTGATCTAGTCCAGCGGTCTCCCCAGTGGTCTCCGATTCTGCCACTGCTCCTCTTCAGTCTGTATTTAACACAGCAGCCGAATAATCTTGAAGTCAAATTACAACATTCTTCTGTACCACATCCTACTCATCTTCGAGTGAAAGGCGATGCATTAGCAATGGCCCACAAGGCTGTGCATGACCCGTTTCTGATACCTGCTTCTGCCACCGTACCCCCGTACTCACGTCTCAGCCCCACTGACCTCTGGCTGTTGCTGGTACACACCAGGCATGTCCCTGCCTCAGGGCCTCTGCACGTGCTGTTTTCTCTACTTGGAACTTGCCACAGGTGGTGCCCATTGGGTTCCCTCCTCCTTTAGGTCCTTACTCAGGTATCATCTTCTTGACCACTCAGAACATTCTCCTAGTCCCCCACAGGCCCGTCTCCTGTCCAGATTTAGTTTTCTCCATTATCCACTTACTACCGTCTTAGAAATTCCACGTTTTAGTCACTTGCTTTGCTGATCGGCTGCCTCCTCCACTAAAATGTAAGCTCCGTGAAAGCAAGGACTCTCTTATCTGTTCGGCTCACTTTTTCAGAAATCACTTGTGCCTAGAAGATTGGGACACGGAATGGGCTCAAATTTAATTGAATGAATGGAAAGAAGGGAGGGAGAGATGAAAATATGACACCTGTTTCTCACTGCTGAAGCCTGTCGGATAAAAGGCAGAAGCCTCCCATGTTAGTCTGAGAGCTGAAGGCACCCAGGCCAACAAGTGGGCCTGATGGAGTCACTCAGCTGAACTGGCGGAGATGCTCCAGCTGAAGAAACGCTTCTAAACAGGCTGCAATCCGGCCTCCCATGAGCAGCAGTGAGAACCAGGATAGCTTCTGCCATTTTAATCTTCCACGTATTAAATACCACATCAAGTGCTAAATGTTTTCCTATCATCCCATTTAATTGTCAGCAAAAGACTATGGAAAAAAATTCGAAGGTAAAGAGGAGTTACTGCGTGGCTACGACAAAGTAAAGCATCATTTCAGAAAAACTGCAAATGCTATGACTTACTAACTCATGTTGCTGGTTCTGAAACTAACATTCAACATGGTCATGGGATTTGGATTTAGCAAGTAGCAGAGCTGGGATTTAAACTTGGATCTCCCTGATTCTCAAACAAAAGCCTCTTTGGTAATAAATCCCAGAAGCCTACCATAAGTGCCTTGATTTCCAAAGTGGCTCTGGTCCTGCCATCGTGTAACAGAGACACGAGGGTCTCCCAGGTGGCAAGACGAGAAACACTCCACCTGTCTCACCTTCCTGAACGCAGAGGCCATGGGATTCCCCACCCACGAGCAAAACCCTGGCCAGCATCTGGCCCCCATATCTACTCTGTAGGTGCCGCCTGGCTTACCTCCAATAAACGAGCACAGCAATGAGAAGGATGAGGCACACGAAGGTCAAGGCTGATACCACAATCAGAGGGATGATCCACTCCATCCTCCCTGGAGCAGGGCGGCTTATCATTCCAGAGGTGTTTTTTTCTGCTGCCAAGAGAAATCATCCCAGTTAGAGGACAGAGGTTAGTGGAGGTGGGAGCCAGAATATGACGCAGGGTTCTGTTCCAGTTTTGGGTGGTTTCTGGAGAACTGGGGCACTTGCGCTGGGCTGTGCCGTAACAGGAGTCTGCAGCCCTTACTGTTTCCTACCCCGACCCAACACACACGCAGGGCCTTTTCTGTGCGCTGCATTTTGTAATTGGCAGTGATAATGGATTTACAGACAGAGTTCAAGGTGTTTTTAAAGACAGCCATACAGAAGACACAGACATTCCAGCTTTACTCCAAGAACATGACCGAACCAGAAGGGCCTTTGAATGCGCGGAGGACATGTGCTCAAGTCTCTGAAAGAAGCAGGATGGGATGGCTGTCCAAGAGCCTCTCAGGTTCTCTAGCGCAAGGGCAGGAGGGCCAGCATGATGGATTTCACCAGGATAACTAGGAGAACTGGCTGTGACTATCATGGCCATCTGTTCTTTGCTGCTCAGGATCCGTTACCCCTTCCTGTAGTAACAACTACACCCCGATTCTGCTTTGGGAAACCACCTTTCCCTAACAGATACAGTCACGGTGGGACAATCATCAGAGTGTGGGCTCCCTGCTCTGGCCAGGGAAGTGGCACCAAAGCCGGGACAATGGGGTCTCACCCTGGAATCTCAACCACCGACTCTTAAGACTGAGCAACAGCGTATCCCAGCAGGAGCACCGGGGTGCTTCTGCCCGTGGGCTCCCACCACACTGATCCCCAGAGATCCTGTTTTTCCTAAAATCTGCTTCTCCAGTTTTTCCTTTGATCCCACCACCTACCCCAGAGCCTTCCAAAAGCTCCTATCTTCTTTCCTAAAGACAGGAAGCCACACCTCACCCTCTTCCCAGAGCACGTATGTAATTAGTAATCACAATCTAGAGGTTAGCAGGGAAAGCCTGCCAAATAGTTCAGGATTTTCTCTGGTCAGCCAATACCTGTTAACAAGGCAGCTCCTTCCTCCACTTCTCCAGGCCCCGAATATCTTCAGAAGTCCCCGGGAACCTCAGCAGAAGACCCTATCTTCCCTTCCACTGTGGGAAGACGCCTGGAACGTGCCAGGTGGCCCAAATGAAGCTCGCGTAGGGTGCTGGGGCTGGGAAGAGCACAGGTGCGCAGAGGCGGGCCGCGAAAAAGCAAAGGTCATCTGTGACCACAGGGAGAAGCCCCTTGAAAAATCGAACACTGGCTGCAGGCTGACTCGAGCCCAGCAAGGATTTCTCCTGCGCTGCAAAAATGAGGCCAGTGTTCACCCAGCCCCGAGCGTCCCTCTGCACGATGGACTAAATGCAGAGCTAATCGGGCTGAGTTTCCAGGTGAGAGAAGGTAGGCTGAGTAGGGAAGAAAGAATTGGCTGTGGGAGCAGATTTTTAAAGAGGCAAGACTCTCGAATTAGGAGGAAGTGTGTTATGATGCGTTTCATTGAATTTCCTCTAATGCATTTTATGTTGACCACCTTCTTTGTTTCACGCACAGGCCTGTGTCACAGGTGGGACCTGATGTATCCCCAGCTCACGGGTAAGAAGACAGAGTCAAGTAGGTGAAACACACTCTGATTAAAAACTACCATATCAGGCAGGGCGCAGTGGCTCATGCCTGTAATCTCAGCATTTTGGGAGGCGGAGGAGGGTGAATCACGAGGTCAGGAGTTCAAGACCAGCCTGGCCAAATGGTGAAACCCCGTCTCTACTAAAAATACAAAAAAATTAGCCAGGTGTGGTGGTGGGCGCCTGTAATCCCAGCTACTTGGGAGGCTGAGGCGGAGAACTGCTTAAACCTGAAAGGCAGAGTGTATTGCAGTGAGCCAAGATTGCGCCACTGCACTCCAGCCTGGGCAACAGAACAGGACTCCGTCTCAAAAAAGAAAAAAGAAAAAAAACACCACAGAGCCCTTTGCTGTTTATACAGTGCCTTCCTAGCTGTGCCAGGCCATTTTCTTAACCTCCTGCTCCATTTTTTTTTTTTTTTAAGGTTAGATTCTTACCAAGCCCCCACTGTGCACAGGCCTGGTACAAGGGGCTGGGGACACAGCAGTACATCAGACAGGAGCACTGCTGCTGCCATGGGGAGGAGTTTTTTAAAGGAGGCAAGGTGGGCACATGAACAAATAACTAGAATACAATGAATGTGGCACCAGGGGAAGCACAGGGAGCTCTCCAAGCCCAGGTATCCATGAGCTCCCCAGTGAAGGCAAGTGTTGAAGGATGAAGGGGGGTTAGCCAGGCAGACACTGGGAGAAGAAGGGTGTTCAGGTCGGAGACCATCAAATCAGTGGGAGTCCAAGAATGAGAGGGAGGAGAACTAAGATGGAGAATTGGAAGGCAAATGCTGCCAGGGCCTTGGAGGCTGAAATAACGATACGGATTTTAGTTCTAAGGGCAGTAGAAACTACTGCAGGGTTTTAAGCCAAAGCAGAGATGGATCAGACATGCCTTCTCTCCATCAACATAATGCTTTTATTGCAGAGCTCTGGTGGCTGGCCAGAGGAACCAGAGTTGCAAGTAAGAATAATTTCATGGGGCCCCAAAAGGGGGCGGCCCAGCCAGGGATGGTGGGGGATCTTAAAGACCTGGAAGTCCTGTTAATGGAAAAAAAATATTGAGAAGGTTGACGCTATAGGCCACATGTTCAATTAAAGTCAGTATCCACTCTGGGAAGCCCTTGGGTACAGGACGGACTCTCAGTGTCTTGTTTCTCTCCTTGCTCCTTACACATTACATAGAATGCAAACTCTATGTCCTATTCATCCCAAACCACAGAAAACTCTTGGCCAACACAGTCCCTCACACTTACATTCCTAAACAATCACTGGCAATACCACTTCTGTGTAATTTCTATCATTCTTTTCTTCTTTTTTGAAACAGAGTCTCACTCTGCCACTGAGGCTGGAGTGCGTGATCTCAGCTCTGCCTCCCAGGCTCAGGCAATCCTCCTACCTTAGCCCTCCAAGTACCAGGGATTACAGGCACATGCCACCACACCAGGCTAATTTTCATATTTTTAGTAGAGATGGGGTTTTACCATGTTGCCCAGGCTGGTCTCGAACTCCTGACCTCAAGTGATCCTCCTGCCTCGGCCTCCCAAAGTGCTGGGACTACAGGCATAAGCCACCGTGCCCAGCATATTTCAGCCATTCTAAGACCAGTAAAAAGTGATCACTCTAGAATTTCTAGGCCTTGGGAAGGGGTTAGGGAGTGACCATCCGGTTGTGTGGATCAGTGGCACATTATATAGTCCCTGATACCACAGGGGCATCTCTGTGTTGATGATAATGTCTGTCCCCCGTCTCTTCCTCCACAGGATGAGTGTTCAGTTTTCATCAGATTGTCAGAGAGGTCCAGGCCCCAGAAAAAGTATGAACCACCAGCATGGAGAGAGAGAATGAAGGTCCAGAGGACAAGGCTCTTGAGATCACAGCCGACCAAGGTCAGAGCTGGGCTCAAACTTGACTTCCAGGATGGAGTGAGTCACCTCTCCCTCTAACACTTCCTGAAAGTGTGTGATTACTGGCGCAGGGTGTGGCAGAGGGGTTCCCGTATGGGGCTGGGGCCTATCTGAAATCCCACTGTGGACAGTCCCCAAATGGCAGTTTCTGTGGAGTAGCTCTGAGGTTGGCAATCACGTGTAGTGTGAGTGAGAGACCTAAGGGAGTTTTTCTGGTAAGTTGTACTTTGACCTTGACTAATGGCAGGCAGTTTCATTGGCTTGTGTCTTTTTCATAAAAGCCAAGCGAAAGTAAGAGTGTGGCTGAATTTCCATGTGGGGCATGATAATGTTGATTTCAATTTCAAATTCACAGTACTGCTTCGTCTTCCTGGTGCCAGGAGCCTGGAACTGGATTCCATTTCCAGGTGACCAAGTGAAATCTGCTTCTGTCACCTTCCTAAGCAGCTCCTCATGATACCCCTGAGTGGGGAAAGCACGGGCCTTCAGGAGCAGCGCCTTCCACCACCACCACCCCAGCATCATCTCCTGCTGTTCCCCTTCACTGTTCCAGCCACACTCACCCAATCAGTGACCATGCTGGGCCACAGTCCCGCCTCTCTGTCTCTGCCCCTCCCATTCCTACCGCAGGGAGTGCCTTTCCTTTCCTGATGCCAGAGTTGATCTTATTGATCCTTCAATCCTAGTTCAAACGCTGCCTTCTCTGTGAGGCTTGCCGAAGCCCCCAATCTGTATTATCTCTTAAGGGCAGAGTAGAGGTTACAGGTTCAAATCCTGGCTCTGCCATTTTCTGTGTGACCTTTAATCCAGTTTGGGCCTGGAGTTCTTCATCTGTAAAATGGGATAAAAAGAGCCTGCTTCATCGATCGAGCTGTGGGGGAATTCGATGTAAGAATGCCTAGAAGGGTGTCTTATATCAAGCAAATGCCAAGTACCACCACCACCACCATCATCAGCTCGTGTTATCTTACTGCATACATCACACTCAATTATAATTGCTCTTTTGTTACTCTAGTCCCCAGAGGCAGGGCTGATTTCCATCTCTCCATGAAAGAACAGTAACAAAGCTCTACCTCCTACTAGCTATGCAACTCTGGGCAACTGACCTAACCTCTCTGTGCCTCAATCTCCTCCTCTGTAAATGGAAATTATATTGCATACAGCATTGTGGTGGTATGAAGATTAAATGAGCTAAAACACTTTAGAATGTTGCCTGGCACCTGGTTCCTGTTAACTATTGTGATTATCGTCATCGGTACACACCCCAACTTCAGCAACACCATCATCCGCCACCATCCTAGCAGGGGCATCATTCCTTCTCATTAGCACCACTCTCTTCCTCATCAGCACCCTCACACGGCAGCAGGAGAAGGGGAGTGCTCACTGAGTGTTTGCTGAATCTGACTTCTTCTTGTGACATCTGCATGTGGAAGTGGCAGTCATACAGAACTTCAGATGCGCTGGGCATCAGCACAAGGGGCTGCCTGTGATGTGATTATGGTAAAAAGCTATGTAGGGC